CTCACGAACCTCGGTGGGTTCACAGGGTCCTTCACATGGGGAGAACTACAAACCCTCCTCTACCAGGCAGCCAACTTAACCAACGAACGGCCAATTGACGCCAGAGCTCAAGAGCAGGAGGACTCCATCGAGTACTTGACACCAAACTCCCTCATCCTGGGTCGAGCATCGCTGGGGGGAGATACCACCAGTCTCGACCTGGAGACTCATTCCTGGCGGCGGTTGCGAGCTATCCAAATCGGGGTAGATCGCTTCTGGGCCAAATGGAGGGAGCTTGCTGGCCCAAATCTCTTCGTTCGTCAGAAGTGGCACCGATCAGAGAGAAACATCAGAGTCGGCGATCTCGTCTGGGTAGCTGACCCAAATGCTCTGAGAGGTCAGTTCCGCCTGGGCAGAATTCTGTCTGTCTACCCTGACAACAAGGGGATCGTCCGGGATGCTGACATCACGACTTGCACTGGCATCACAGTCGGGCAGCCGCAAGAGGAGCTGCTCTCCTTTGCCCACGACTGTGATCAAGAGGGATGTAAGGAGACTTGTGGTCCTTCTTCCGGTGGAGGATCAAAACCCTCTGTCCTCAGCCTCAATCTGACGTAGTGGTGAACTCCGAACGCTGCCACTATGCCATCAAAGTTGTACATCATGAAGAGCTGCAAACATGCATCATGACCGGGAGGAAGAAGAAAGAAAAAAAAACCCTTGAAAGAGCTTTGAAGGACTCTGAAAGAGAAATTAATTAATTGTAAGATTTGTGACTTCATTGGATCTTGCGATCATTCAGTCAAGTGGGAGGTGTTTTGTGCACTGTCATTTGGTGGTAGGTAAACAACGTCAACTCACGGGTGATCAGGTGTAACGCAGCACAGCTGATTAGGTGGGAGGGGGCACTTACCTGGTTTGGTGTGCTGGCTTGCCGTTGGATGTAGTGTTCCTAGTGATGCGTAGATAAACAGGAGCGTGCACGCACAGAGACAGAATCCAATTGCATGGCTGGAAGAGCGACGCACATCACCGGTAAGGTGCTGGGTTTTAATATTCTCTCGCTGGTTGTTTTAAACTGCTTGATCGACTGTTGTTGCCCTTTAACTGGTCGGATGTTTATAACTTTTTCACTGTGGTCGCTTGGCAAGTGCATTGTTTTAATCCGCCGATTACTGTTAAAGTTTATTAGTCTGAGTTGACGGTAAAAACTTTTGAAACGAAGCGCGTTTGACGCTATGCGCTTACTTCCTGATTCGCGGTGCACTCTGGGTGTTGTAGTCGGGCCGAAGTCGTAGTTGTTTCCTGTAATGCATGATGGGAGATGTGGTTCACTCACCTAGCATTTGTAAATGGGCTCCTGTTGTTATTTTAAGCTGCTTTTTGCAGTGGTAGCTCTGGTGTTTGTATGTAATGAAATGGATTAAGTGTAGTGTCTGCTGTTGTGCATTCTATTGTTTATATTTATAGATATTGTTGGCTATGCTTTAATGAGGAATTGTATTTATATGAATTATTTATACAAGCTGCAGATTTTTATACAGTAGTTACTGACGCTTTATGGTGTGTGTCTAAATAAGAGTTTATAGCTTATGGATGCATGTATGTGTATTTATATGGATTTCTCATTGATATTGCAGTGAATTTGTATTAGTTATTTATGTAAATATCTGAACATGAAATCTAATGTATAGCACAACTTTGGTGTTTTCCACAGGTTTATAACCTGCTGTGTTTCAAGTGTGAAATCAAGAAAGAAAATAAACAACATTTGGACACTGAGTTGTAACCAAGTCTCGCTCTTCTAGCGACCCTTTTCGGTGGGGATAAATTACAAAAAAAATAAATAAATAAATAAAAAAAAAAAAAAAAAAAAAAAAAAAAAACGAACAATGCGCATTGACTCCCTGCCCTGTGATCAATACGTGCCACGTGTCTGTTTGTGGCCACGGCCCCGTGTACAATCCTCCACTGGAGATCTGCAGTACGTTTCTCCAGGGGGGTTTTGTACAGGGACCTCCAGCTGCCCCTGGGAGATGAATCTGGCGCCAACACACCCGACCACCTCGACTCCTTGACCCCTACCAGCATCGCTCTGTTCTGGACTTTCACTGATACCTCATATAGGCTTCTCTTTGGTGCTTCAGAGAAGTTCCTCAGTTCAGGTGTTCTGACTGACAGCAGGAGCCCGTCTGCTTCCTCCTGTTCCACCACTGCAGCACCAATAGACAGCTTTGGAAACTCCTCCAGATGCTCCTCTAACTCTAGTACCCTCCTGAAGGATCCGGGAAGTCCACTTATCACCTCCTGCACCAGTCTGTCCATGAGGCGTAAGGATTTAGTCCCTGTTTCCTCACATATCTTCGCAGCACTCTTCCATTGACCATCTGCCCTCAGTCCTGCCAGCTTTGTCAGCCCCGCTGCTGTGAACATCCTCTGGATACTCTTAGAGGCCAGAATTCTGCTTCTTATGGCTGGGTTATGGAACAGAGGTTCATCGCCTATTGTCCCATACACCTGAGTGCAGTCCCTTTTACTTTTTAAAACTGTTCTCCAGTCATCCAATACTGACTGATAAAAACTGGAAGTTTGTGTAGTGTCCATTCCCTCCAAGTCCAATAGAAAGAGATGCTTATCGTAGTGTAGGTTTCCAATTCTTTGCAGCAGCAAGGATGCCGTTTCAGTCCAGGGCTGCTGTGATTTGTACAAGTATCTCTGTGCCGTCTGGAGCCGAAGCGCAGTTATGCGGCTCCTGAGGTCAATCAGCCCTTGACCCCCTTCCGCCACAGGTAGAAACAGCACAGCTGATCTAATCCAATGATAGCCATCCCATAAAAAGTCCACCAGTGTCTTCTGCATCTGTTCTAATATTTTGTTCGGGGGAACTAGAACGGTGGCCCGATGCCAAAGCATGGATGCAGCTAGACTGTTGGCAACCAAAGTCCTCCCCCTGTATGACAACTGGGGCTGGACCCATTTCCATCTAGACAATCGGGCACCTATTTTCTCACCTATGCCCTCCCAGTTCTTTAACTGAAAGTCATCCTTCCCTAGATATACACCTAGCACCATCATCCCCTCTGTGCTCCACTGCAGCCCGGCTGGTAAGGTCGGTCTCACTTTATTGTTCCACTCTCCCAGTAAGAGACCCTCACACTTCGACCAGTTAACCTTTGCTGAAGAAGCTTGCTCTTATAGTTTTAGCCTTTGTTCCAGAGTCCTAGCATCTTTTTGGCAACCTATAAAAACTGTGACGTCATCAGCATATGCTGACAACCTAACCGAAGCATTTGTTTTGTCTGCTGATTTTAAACCTGATATATTATTCCTGAGGTGATGCAATAAGGGCTCAATAGCCAAAGCATAGAGCATCCCAGAAAGAGGACATCCCTGCCTGATCCCTCTCTGTACAGAAACCGGTCTGCTAAGTCCCCCTCCTACCTTCAATAATACAGTGATCCTTGAATACAACAACTCAATACATGAAATAAAAAAATTACCAAAACCAAAAGCTTTAAGTGTTTTAAACAAGTATTTGTGATCAACTCTATCAAATGCCTTTTCTTGGTCCAGAGAAAGCAGGCCTATATCTAATTCCTGGAATTTTGACAGATCTATGATGTCTCTGAGTAAAAACAAATTGTCCATTATTGTCCTATCAGGGACACAGTATGTCTGGCTGTCGTCTACAATTGAGTCCAAATATTTTTAAGTCTATTCGCCAGTACTTTGGCTAGAATTTTATAGTCAGTGCAGAGTAGTGATACCGGTCGCCAGTTCTGTAGTAGTCACAAATCTCCTTTCTTTGGCAGTAACGTCAGTACTGCTCTCCTACAGCTCGTTGGTAACGTCCCGGAGTCCAAGCATCCTCCGAAAACGTCCATTAGATCGTTTCCAATTAGGTTCCAGAATGTCTTATAAAATTCCGCTGGAAGCCCATCGACACCAGGCGCCCGCCCACAGCTGAGCTGGCTCACCGCTGTAGACAGCTCTTCAAACTGCACCTTGGACTCCAGGAAGGCTGCCGACGCCTCCCCTAAACGAGGGAGTCCCTCCAGTATCTCCTCCACAGGATCTGGGTCACACTCATCCGCTTTAAACAAGTTGCTGTAGAAATCTATGGCCAGCCTCCTCATCTCAGATGGGTCCCTGGTCACCGACCCATTGGAGCTCTTAAGGTGCATCATCTGATTATGTTGCCTGACCTTTCTTTCCAACTTAAAAAAGAATCTAGTAGGTGAATCTATGTCTTTAATAGATAGTATTCTAGATTTTATTAAAGCTCCTTTAGCTTTTTCATGTAAAAACCTGCTTAATGATGCCCTCTTCTTCTCCCAAGTCTTATTATCATCATTATTTATGTCCATCCCATTAGTTATGTCTTCTTCCAATACATATTTAATTGAAGTAGCAGAGTTGAATTTCTTTTTCCTGCAACAATTATTATAATTCATAGTAATAGTTTATACGTTTTTGCTCATCCTGTCTTACAAAGTATTCAGAAATTTAAAAAAGGGTTTAAGTTCAGGGGCGGAGCTAGATGGGGGCAGGTGGCCATGGCCACCCTTAGCCAATCATTGGCCCAGATAATGTGCTATATTGCATATAGCCGCAATCGGCGGGCTCCCCTGCTCCTGATCGGGAGCCGCAATCGGCGGGCTCCCCTGCTCCTGATCGGGGGCCGCAATCGGCGGGCTCCCCTGTTCCTGATCGGGAGCCGCAATCGGCGGGCTCCCCTGTTCCTGATCGGGAGCCGCAATCGGCGGGCTCCCCTGTTCCTGATCGGGAGCCGCAATCGGCGGGCTCCCCTGATCCTGATCGGGAGCCGCAATCGGCGGGCTCCCCTGTTCCTGATCGGGAGCCGCAATCGGCGGGCCCCCCTGTTCCTGATCGGGAGCCGCAATCGGCGGGCTCCCCTGCTCCAGAGCCGCAATTGGCGGTCTCCTCGGTTCCAGACCCTGTTCCAGAGCCGCACTCGGCGGTCTCCTCAGAGCCTCCTCCTGAGCCGCAGTCGGCGGTCGCTACAGAGTCTGAGCTGCCGAGGAGGGGACGGGGTACCCCGTGGGGGTACCTGCTGAAGTTTGGGCGTCTTCCTCCTGAGAAGGTTCTTCGCCTTCGGCCCCGCGGCAGACCTCCAGAGCGTCAGCTTCACCTCCGGCCCTGTGGCGGACCCCCAGAGCGTCATCTTCACCGCCGACCCCGTGGCGGACCCCCAGAGCGTCATCTTCACCGCCGACCCCGTGGCAGACCCCCAGAGTGTCAGCGTCGCCTTCGACCCCGCTGCCGGCCACATAAGACTCTGCTCCGTTGCCGGATCGTAGGCCGGCCTCCTGAACCTCAACCGTGCCTCCGGCCCGGCGGTGGTCCCCCTAAGACGCTGCTTCGCCTTCATCTCAACGGTCGACCTCCTGAGCAGCAACTACGCCTCCGCCGTCGGTCCCACGGTAGGCCACCTGAGACTATGTCCTGCTGCCAGTACTTCGGCCGGCCACCTGAAACTGTGTCCTGCTGCCGGTCCCTCGGCCGGCCACCTGAGACTCAGTCCCGCTGCCGGTCCCTCGGCCGGCCACCAGAGACTTTGCCCAAGAAATTTTTTGGGTTTTCTTTTGTTTTCGTCCACCATAAGTGGATCGTTTTTTGTTCTGGACTCTGTTTTAGTTTTGTGCCCTCCTGGCCTGTTTCCCCCTTCGCCCACCCTGGGTGGGTTGTTTTTTGTTTGTTGGACCTTTTTTTCTGTTGTTTCAGGCCCTGCTCGCCCTAGTGCCCCCTCCGCCCGCCCTGGGTGGGTTGTTTTTTTTTGTTTGTTTTTTGGACTTTTTTTTTTCAGGGGGCGTCTGGAATCCGCCCTTGAGGGGGGGGCTCTGTTGGGATCCTCAGGCATGCCCACCAGAGGGCGCCGAGGATCCTCTTCTGCTCTCTTTGTCTTTTCTTTAGGGCTGGAGTCACTGTTAAGGTTCTGGAGATTACCCTCTGCCTCCAGCAGAGTGCGCCGTGGGTCCTCCTGAGCTGAGCCTCCCACACACCTGTGGGAGGCTCAGCTAGATAGATAGATAGATAGATGTACTTTATTTATCCCAAGCTGGGAAATTGCAGTGTAGCAGCAGCTTTACACATAGTGACAGTCACAACACAATAAGATAAGAAAAAAGTAAAATAACATAACATCCACACGTATTTACATTATAAGGGTAATTTACATAATAAGGGTGCAGTGAACAGTCCTGAGGTGCAGTGAACAGATTATAAATAAGTATTAAAATATGGAGTGCAGTACAGTACAGTGCTGGTTACTGTATGCTGAAACAAGAGTTTATTTTTTATTGTACAATGTGATGGCATATGGTAGGAAAGATTTCCTGTATCTGTCCCTTCGATAATAAACTCTTATCCATCATTGACAATGATCAGCACCCTCTCCACCACACAGTGGTCAGACAGCGGAGCACCTTTTCTCACAGGCTGCTCCAGCTCCGCTGTCTGACCACTGTGTGGTGGAGAGGGTGCTGATCATTGTCAATGATGGATAAGAGTTTATTCAGCGTTCTCCTCTCCACCACAGTCTCAAAAGACTCCAGCCTGAGTCCAAGTACAGAGCCAGCCCTCCTGATGATTTTATCAAGTCTGTTGGTGTCGCTGGCTCTAATGCTGCTGCCCCAACACACAGCAGCAAAGAAAATGGTGCTGGCAACAACAGACTGGTAAAAGATCTCCAACATCTTGCTGCACACATTGAAGGATCTCAGCTTCCTCAAGAAATAGAGTCTGCTCATCCCCTTCTTGTACACAGCCTCAGAGTTAGACCTCCAGTCCAGTCTATTGTCAATTATCACTCCCAAATATCTGTAGTCCTCCACCTCCTCCACCACCTCCCCCCTAATCCGTAGTGGCTGTGAAGACCTCTTCTCTCTCCTGAAGTCAATCACCATCTCTCTGGTCTTGTTGACATTCAGCCTCAGGTGGTTCTGTTCGGACCACTCCACAAAGTTGTCCACCAGTGTCCTGTACTCCCCCTCCTCTCCCTCTCTTATACACCCTACAACAGCTGAGTCATCAGAAAACTTCTGCAGGTGACATGACTCAGAATTGTACTGAAAGTCAGTGGTGTATACGGTGAAGAGGAAGGGAGAGAGCACAGTTCCCTGTGGAGCTCCTGTATCACTGACCACCACATCAGACAGGACACTGCCCAGACGGACAAACTGTGGCCTGCCTGTCAAGTAGTCAGTAATCCAGGAGATCCTTGTGTCGTTGACACCCATCACCCGCAGCTTCTCACCCAGCAGCAGAGGCTGAATGGTGTTGAAAGCACTGGAGAAATCAAGGAAAGTGATCCTCACAGTGCCTCCTCCACCATCCAGATGCAAATGGGCTCGTTGCAGCAAGTAAATGACAGCATCGTCGACTCCTAAGTGGGACTGGTAGGCAAACTGCAAAGGGTCCAGAAACGTCCTCACCTGTGGCCTCAGCTGGGCTAAGACCAGTCTCTCCAGGACCTTCATCACATGTGATGTGAGGGCGACCGGTCTGTAGTCTGCTGGGTCGGATGGCCTCGGCTTCTTGGGGACAGGAACCAAGCACGACGTCTTCCACAGCAACGGGACTTTCTCCTGACTCAGGCTGAGGTTGTAGAGATGTCCCAGTACAGGAGACAGCTGGCTGGCGCAGGTCTTCAGGATCCTGGGTGTGATGCCATCAGGGCCTGCAGCCTTGCGTTGATGTAGTCTTTCCAGCTGCCTCTTAACCTGGCCTGTAGTCACACGGGGGTTGGTGCAGATGTCCTCAGTGGAGGAGGAGGAGGGGAGGGTGGTGGTGGAGAGGTGCTGTACAGGAGAAGGCTGGGGGGAGGGTTGAGCCATTTGGGACAGTGTGAGTGTGTGGGGGGCTGTGTGGGGGGCTGGAGGTGTCTGAGGGGTGGCAGGAGCTGAGCTAAACCTGTTAAAAAACTGGTTGAACTGGTTCGCTCTATCCAGGCTCCCAGGTGTCTGCCTGTCCTTCCCCTTCATCCCCGTGATGTACTTCATTCCAGCCCACACGTCCCTCACACTGTTTTGTTGGAGTTTGGCCTCCAGCTTCCTCCTATAATTGTCCTTGCACATCCTCAGCATGTCCCTGAGTTCGTGCTGTACTCTCCTCAGCTCCTCTCTGTCTCCAGACCTGAAAGCCTTCTTCTTTTTGTTCAGAAGTTCCTTCAGGTCACTGGAAATCCAGGGCTTGTTGTTAGGGAAGCACTGGACGGTCCTGGCTGGCATGGTGGTGTCCTCGCAGAATCTGATGTAATCCGTAACGCAGTTGGTCATCCCATCGATGTCCTCCCCATGTGGCTCACATAACACGTCCCAGTCTGTGGACTCGAAGCAGTCCTGCAGTGCCTCAGCAGCCTCTGGTGTCCACCTCCTCACCACCCTGGTGTGCACCGGCTGCCTTTTCACAAGTGGGACATACTTCGGGGTCATCAAGACCAGGTTGTGGTCTGACCTGCCGAGGGGAGGGAGGGCTGCGGCTTCATATGCATCCATGGTATTGGTGTATAATAAATCCAGTGTTTTATTGTCTCTGGTGGGGCAGTTAACATACTGGTGAAAGTTACTGAGAGTATTGTTCAGTGAGGCATGATTGAAATCACCAGTAATAACCATGAACGCATCTGGATGATCAGTCTGCAGTTTAGCAGCGGCGGAGCTGATGACGTCACAGGCCACCGCTGCATCAGCTGATGGTGGGATGTAGACAGCAATAACAATGGTAGATGTAAACTCCCTTGGCAAATAATACGGGCGCAATCCCACAGCCAGCAGTTCAATGTCCGGGGTACAGAGACGTTCCTTCACTCTGACATGTCCAGGGTTGCACCACCTCTCACTCACATAAAGTACAAGCCCGCGGCCTTTCTTCTTCCCACTTTTAGAACAGTCTCTGTCTCCACGTACCAAACTGTAACCGGTGACCTCCACACTGCTGTCCGGGATGTTGGAGTGTAGCCAAGTCTCACTGAAGCAAAATAAGCTACACTCGCTGTATTCCCGTTGAGTCCTCACCAGCGCTGAGAGCTCGTCCGTCTTGTTCGCCAAAGACCTCACATTTCCCATTATTATCGCTGGGACCGCTGGCCTATGTCTTCTCCTTTTCTCCCTCCGCTTGGTTCCAGCTCTGCAACCCCGGCGTCTCCTCCGTAACTCCTCCGGGACCACAGGCCTGTCTCCGGGCAGCAGCGTGGGCTTACACAGAGCAATCAGCTGATCACGCGTGTAAACAATGCCCCCGCTACTGCTTGCAACGCTCTCAGTTACAAAAAGTAAAAAAAGTAACAGAAGAACGCGGAAAAGAGTCGCAAAACTTAATCCAGCCATTGTTCCAACGTTTATGTACGGACTTGCAATAAATAGAAAAACAAGGAAAGAAACACACTAACAAATAAATAAAAGTTAAAAACGCACGGCGGGAGCTGCGGCTACAGGCTGCCACCCGAGGCGGCGCCAAGACGTGAGCTGCCTTCAAACCTTGATTCCACGCCGCAGTGTTGATCTTAGTTGGTTAGCTTCCTGAGCCTTCAGTTTCAGATTGAGTCTTGGTTGTCTCTAGGTTGAGATCACATTCTAATCTCTCCTTTATCTGTGCCTCACAGGATTCCTGTCCCTTTGTGAAACTCTGGATGAGCTTAACCTCCTGTCTCCTCGTGAAGCTCTGGATGAGCTTAACCTCCTGTCTCCTCGTGAAGCTCTGGATGAGCTTAACCTCCTGTCTCCTCGTGAAGCTCTGGATGAGCTTAACCTCCTGTCTCCTCGTAAGCTCAGGAAGAGCAACCTCACTGGAACCCTGTCTCTGGTCTGCAGCTCAGGGAGAGCAGCATCCCAGGAAACCAGTCTCAAGCCTAAAGCTCTTGGAAGGTCTAAACGGCTAATCTGCCCTGGTGAGCCAACCCGAAGATTTCTACGTGGATGAAACCTGACGACTTCTCTGAGGAGTTTCCCTAGAGGTTCCCATGTGGATTTCCCCAGTTGTTCTCTGCAGTGAGCTGGAAGCTCAGCCTGAAAGACCCTCCGTGTTTTCCCCAGTTGTTCTCTGCAGTGAGCTGGAAGCTCCAACCCAGGACTGCCAGACTAACCCTAAGCTAGATGCTTAGCCACACCTGAACTCAGCTACCAGCCTTCTTCCCTTCCTTGCACAGTCCCCAGTGAACCAGCCCCCTGCCAGAACTGTTCCGGTTTCATACTCATGTGTTTTGTGCTTCAATAAACTCTTTTGGACTTTTTACCCAGTGTCTCCGAGTGTGTTCTGCATCTTGGGCTTACTCTCTTAGAAACCCATCATGACAGATTAGCCTTCATTTTCTACTCACCCCCATGCTGAACAACACTCTGGAGTACTTTTTTGATATCTCAAATGCATCTGGAGATCTGGGAGGCTTCTTGCTGTCTGCTGACATTCAAATAATGGAGGTCTATGGCGCCCGAGGCAGAAAGGTCCATAAAAGTCCACAGAAAACGTGTCAATATTCCTCCATACTGCTCGTCCAATGTATTCCAAGTGTCCTGAGTGGGTAGCGTCCAGAATTTACTCGAAACGAAGTCATTTAGAATGTTTTTAGAGCATAAACAGTAGTGTATAGGATTTCCTGAAAGAGCGCACATGCGCGTTCACGACGCTACGGAAGCCGGCAGATCAAACCAGATGAAAGTGCGCATTCAGCGTCTGCTCTGCCGATAATGCAAGCGTAGAAGAAGAAATGTGCTGTTTACCTGTGCAAAGAAAGAAACAACGAAAGAAAAATGTCTGAGGACTTCAGTGTTGAGGAAGAGCATGAGTTCTTTGCCGAGCTGAATGCGCTGGTTTGGTTTCAACAAGTTATTACCTTTCTTCTTCAGTTTCCTCCTGAAACTGAACCCTTGAAAAAAGATTTATTTCATATAATGATTAACTGTAACTGATTAAAACATAAATGCGGATAATGCTTGTTATATTGCGAACATGCTTGGTGTGAGTGATTGCTGTAGAGTCAACGACACAAAGAAAGTAAATGTCTACTTTTGCCAGATAATCATCCAGTCAATAACTGGATGCAATCAGCTGGCTTTTCTTGGATAGAAAACTTTTACCTGACTGGATGATCTCATTATTTGTCTCTGCAAAATGCTATGAGAGGACGTGTTGTAAAATGGTTAAAAAAAAGAATCCAAAAATATTAATTAGATTAAAAAAATGTTTTTCTTGTTATGCCCCTTTTCCAGCGGTTTCCCTTTGTCTTTGTTGTACTTTACCCCATCAAGAGTTTTGTTTGGTAGTAAATTCACCGTCATGTTATGTGCAGAGAATATCCTGCTGAGTTGCTCAGAAATTCCAAACACAATTGAAATTACAATGAATTTTGTTTATCTCTCTGTTTTCTCCTCTGCGGTAGATGCAGCGTTGTTCTTCCTGATCATTTCTTTGGTTTACCTAATAAATGCCCACATAGCTGTAGGATAACCACATTCTTGGAGGCATTTTCTGAAAGGTTTGAGCTCTTAGGATGTTTCCTCTGCAACTGGGGAAACATTGACAGACCTCAAACCTAGAGTCCTTATGATAGAAAGTTTGTATTCCAGATGTAAGATAATGTAGATATTGGTCTGTATGTGTTTGTCTCTGGTAAACATCAGTATTACACTGAAAAAAAAAAATCTAAAAATGTGTAAAAATGTCTTAAATTGAGTGTATTAACACTTAATTTGAGCAGATAAATAAGATGATTTGCCAATGGAGTGAGTATTTTACTCTTAAAATAAGGTAATTAGATATTATGCACTTGATATAAGACAATGCAATTGTTTTTTTCTTATTTTAAATGTAAATTATCTTGTACTATTGGCAAAGTGTCGCACATCCGTAATTCAAGAAAAAATGCACTTATTTTAAGTAAAAATGACTTATTTAGATTTAATTGTTTGCAGTGTAATACTTGTCCTCTATGTGCAGCCTCAGAACTGCATTTTTCACATTATTTTGGCATCGTCCTAGTTAAACTTGATTTCTTTTCCACTGAGTCGATTTTTCATTGGTGAATACCAAACTTCTTCCTATTCTAGTCTGGTGTTGATTGGTGCACAGCTCTATCCCTCTCTTCACTCTAGTGTCTAAGATGCGCAGGCAACAGCTGGAAGATTGGGTACAAAGTAAATCGTTGACCAATAGTGAGGGATGTCCTGGTGCCAAGTTCAATCTATAACCTGCACATAAGTCCAGTAATGAAACACAATGAACTATAATAATGAACTCTGAAGAAGCTGCCCTCCAGAGACCAGACTATGCATGGCAGTGAGCAAGCTGAACAAGCTGTCACTTATGATCCACTCTCTTTGTGCCCCTATTTCATTCCAAAATCTCTGTTATGTACAAAATTAACATGATAACTCTATATCCTGACAGAAGAACTATCCTAATTCAATAAACTGCCTGGGAAAACATTTGTTTTGACACATAACAGGCAGGTATTATTAGGGTTTAACAGACTCATATATCATCAATAAAAATAATCCTTTAGATTAGTTGCTCAGTACTTGAGTAGCAACTGTTTTTTACATTTACTTGAGTATTTTCTTTAAAAACTACTTTTTACTTTTACTTGAGAAAAAATATGATGAAGTAGTGCTACTCTTACTATAGTGATATTAATGGATACTCTACCCACCTCTGATCAGAAACAAATAGACTTAAGAAAAGATTCCTTCCCAGAGCTGCAAAGCCGATCATCTCTCTGCTGGCAGTAGCTAAACATCCTTCCTAAAAATCCACTACACTTCCAGACCATTTCAGCACAAGCTGCACTTTGTTTAAATACTACATGCTATAGTCCATGAATATCTGTCCTTGTGTTACATTTTAAGTCTACTATAAGGATTGTAGTCATTTTTTTTTACTATATGTGTAAATAACTTTTGATTATGTATTACATGTGTATTTAGAGTTGCTGTCTCAGGAAACTGTCATTCTGGGGACAGCCACTGAATTTGAACACAGCATATGTCCTCCAGCAGTCTAAGCCTATCGCAAAATAACCATGGAGATAGATCCGGATAACTTGAGCCACTCTATTAGCTTTATAATAAGGAATGTATTGAGCTTAGTCTTAAAAGTAGACAGGATGTCTGTCTCTCAGACTAAAACTGCTAGTTGGTTCCACAGGAGAGGAGCCTGATAAATAAAAGATCTGCTGCAGAAACGTTCAACAGCTATTCCATAGATGGTGTCGTGGGTTCCTGTTGAATCTTTCCTGAAGTCTATGATGAGCTCCTTCGTTTTGGTGGTGTTGAGGAGCTGGTTATTTTCAGTGCACCATGTCGCCAAGTGCTCAATGTCCTCCCTATAAGCAGTCTCATGGTTATTGCTGATGAGACCAATCACCGTGGTGTCATCCGCAAACTTGATGATGGAATTAGACGCGTACACTGGCTTGCAGTCGTGGGTGAAGAGGGAGTAGAGAAACGGGTTTAGCACAGAGCCCTGTGGTACACCAGTGTTGAGTGTGATGGACGTGGAGCAGTTGGAGCCTGATCGGACATTCTGGGGTCTGTTGGTCAGAAAGTCCAGAATCCAGTTGCACATGGAGGTGTTGATACCCAGGTCTTGAAGTTTGGCTAATAACTTCACCGGAATGACAGTGTTGAATGCTGAGCTAAAGTCAGCAAACAGCATGCATGCATAAGTGTTCTTATTGTCCAGATGTGTGAGCACAGAGTGCAGTGCCATGGAAACTGCATCCTCTGTGCTCCTATTGCTGCGGTATGCAAACTGGTGTGAGTCCGATGTGGATGGTACCAAGTCTTTCAGGTGTGCCAGGACCAGCCGCTCAAAGCACTTCATCATGATTGGTGTGAGTGCTACAGGGCGGTAGTCGTTCAGGCACCTTGGGCTGGAGTGTTTTGGCACTGGAACAATGGAAGTACATTTGAAGCATGTTGGTACAGCTGCTTGCCCAAGAGACAGGTTGAAAATGTCTGTAAAACCCCAGCGAGCTGCTCCGCCCTGAGTACACGTCCAGGGATGTTATCTGGTCCAGCTGCCTTGTGTGTGCTGATCCTGCTCAGTGCATTGCAGACATCTGTGGAGGAGAGTGTGATTGGCTGGATGGTCGGCTGAGGATTTCAGCTTGGTGGCAGTTTTACTGTTGTCTTTTATAATTGAAAGGGTGGACTGTTGTTGGAAAATTTAGATTTCTCTTCTATTCTATATTAATTTATCCTATTTACTCTCTATAAAAGTTTTCACTCAGCCTGTTTCACTTTGAAGGCCACACCATTCTCTGCAGGATGGTGTTTGTAGACCAGACAGAGCTTCTTCCCATAACAAACCAGATTCTTTCTCAGGTTTATTC